CTACACAAATAGTAGTAGTATTTCTAAAAAAATTAGCATTATCACAATTTTATGAATGCATTGGATCATAATACGTAACATTCGCGTAACACGTAATGTTAATTTTAGTAATTCTTGCTGATTCTACATTATTTAGGTTAGCACATTAAAACACGTTCTAAAAGCATACGTGTACAAAAGAAACAACTGTGATTTCATTTATTTATCAATCAATAAATAAATTTATTATTGAAAACCAAACATAAATGATTTTATTTTTAATTTATAACCGTCGTTGAACAGCCGAACCAATTTTTTGGGTTTGCGACTACTAATGTTCAACCCTGTAATTTTGAGCTCAATCCAGAAGACACGTGAACTCCTGGTTCAAGTATTGGGAGAGATTTAGCCCTCCACGGAGGCAACACCTATAAAACCAAAGGCCGAAGGAAACCAAGAAAAGCCAAAACAAATTCCCTCAGTTAACCTGATGGCAAGGGGACTCTAGCAGATGATCCGTCTACCACTGAACATATTTTATGTCACCACTGTAGTTAATAGTAGCAGGATGCGGAATTCGTATTGACCAGCCATTGCTGGGATTTGAACCTGGTTCAACTTATTTGAAAACGAGCCCTCTATACTCTGAGTCACTCCGTCTCAAAGATAATTGATTAATGAAAACGTGCGATAAAACCCTAATGAACTACTTTTTGATTTAATAGAGTCTGGAAATCGCCGCGATTCATATATTATTTTATACAATTATAGATGTGACTAACATCCCCCAACCTCACTTTCACAGTTTGAGCTAGTTTGAATTATTTTAGTTATTTATTTTTTGAAGCCACTACGTTTTGCTTGAAACTACATTCTCTTATTTATGGTATCAATTTAATTTTAAAAAGATATTCAGAAAGTGTATATTTACATAAAATAGGGGTCAACTAAAGGACATTTTGTTTATTTTATTTAGACATTAATATTATTTATTTTTAATTTTTCAGTCGGTAAAAAATATTTCATTTATAATTATTTTTTTAAACATTTAATAGTTTCCAATCACAAATACCATAATAAATAGTTAGTTGGCATTACAGTTGATCATACCAGGAAGAAAAATAAATGGTAGTCCCTGGAACAAATTCCATGGGGGAAAAATAATTGGATAAAAATAGTGGCGTCATCGCGCGGCAATAAAATGAAATAAATACATGTTAATAATTATTTGTTTGATAAATTTCAATTTCTGTTTTCAGTTAGTGTGTTTTTTTAATCCCGTTGTGAAATAAATATTTCTGCCTTTCATTACTTTTAACCGTGATAAAAAATACTCCATATAACAACAGGGGGATAAAAAGACTGAAGCCTCACATTACCATTTACTTTAATGTATGTTAAAACTGTTTTTCTTATTTACAAATTTTTTTTTTATTCCTGCTGTCAGTTTGCAGAATTCAATGATTGATTAAAAAATTTAACATAAAGAAAGTTTTTTATTTTAAGTACTATAAATAAACGGAAGGAAAAATTTTTATGAGTATAAGTTAAATTTAATTTTCTTAAAAACTAAGTAAATTTTATTAATAGAAGTATTTACGCAAATATTTAAAGCTTATATTCTTTGAAAAAAATTCCAAATTTTATACACAGAATTTCATAACATTTTTGCTGTAGACGTTTATTTTCAGAGATGCAGTGCATATGTTAATTAAATATTGCTTGTATTTTATATTATTTGAGAAACCTATATTATTAATTACACCTATATTTATTACTCTATTATTTCTATTAACACCAGTAGATTAGATGTTTCCCTAAAAATTACTTTTTGTAATTATAGCATTTCCATTTAGTTTGATATATATTTTTTTAGTATTTGAAAGGCACAGGTTTACTGCAGGTTTTTGTTTCCATAGAACAATTTTAATTATTTTCCCTATTTCAACTGTATATTCAACAACTTGATCTTATTATTTGAATACGAAATTGCATAAACATTTAAGATCTTTATGTCCTTATTTTAAAGCGAAAAACACATAAAATAAAATTTAACCAAATATCTGTAGAGAAAACTACTTATTAATTTTCCTAGATGGCAGCACTAAAAAAAACCATTAAAAAAAACATTTTATAAACGTAGCTTTATAAAAGATATTTTTAGACTACAAAAAATTTATTTCAAATCTTAAAATTTGCTACCTTTAAAAAAATTAATAGTAATATTTAGCTATTTAATATAAAATTTAAAAGTTTAAAACAATTATTTTACAAAACGTTTTACACATATTAAACAGTAAATTAGTTTAATTAAAATTTTCGTAAAACTGTATCCAATCAACATGCGCATTTCAAATTTATTAAGAAATTACAAAACATAATAAATTATTTACATTTTACACCATTACTTAATAATCTAATGGAATTTACTGGGTTTTAATAGTAATCAGAAATTAAAATGGAATTTAAGCCATATTGCAGCAGGAAGAAGAAAAAAAATCAAAATTAGTGGATATTAAATTTTAACCCTTTTACCACCGCTACTATAAAAATGTAACACTTAAACCACATTTTGTAGATTCTGCCTCCACTGCTGTATTCATGTTTAATTTCAGGAACTTAAAGCGCTTAAAAGAATAAATAATTTGATTGTAAGGGTAAATACCAATATGATTTAAAAACAAAGTTTTCTAATATTTTATTATTCCTTACTGATAAGGGAAAAAAATAAGTTTAGATGGTATATTAATTTTTATATTGAAATAATTTGGTATATTTATAGGCATTATTTCTAAGGCAAAATTGGGGTAAAATATAAGCTGATTGTATTAAAATTTTGTTGACAAGATATTCGTAAATTCACTATCCTCTATAAAAATTATTGAATGACAGTACTCTAAATAAATTCATATTTCATGATAAAATTTCTTAAAAAATATTTCTAGTTTAGAAGTTTTTAAAAATCATTCACTATCGAAGAAATTTCAAAAAATTAAACACTTAAAATTCATATGCGCAAAATTTTTTTGTTAGAAACTGTATGTTAACTGTTTAGTATGTTAAAACAACGTATTGTTCACATTTGCAGCAAATTGAACACGGTGCAAAGTTAAACTAAACCACCCCGTGCAAACAAAACCTTATCATTAAATGGATAATCTCAATAAACTGACGAAAAATGATATACTTGATTAAGCACTTCATTGATTTCCAGAAATATTTAAATGGTAAAAAAAATCAACGTGTTTCAAGCACTCAAAAATAGACACTCATTTATTTCAATTAAGACATTTTAATTAACCAATAATTGCAAACGGAGGGCTGTTCGATTGGATCGGGGTGTTGTGGTTGTCCCGCCGCTGTGGGCCCGGTTTTGCTCGTCGTCTGCTCGAGGATTGGTGCTGCAGCCCTGCATGTTTTTGAGCTCGTCGCTTTGAGCTCGATTGTCCTCCTCTACTCATGAAAGTTTCGTTGTGGTGCTCTCCATCATGCGTGACTCGGGGCCTTGTACTTGAGAGCGACTGAGTTTTCAAATGAATCTGGTCTGGGGTATGGGCCTTCGGGCTTGGATCGCCATAACAATAATAATTGCATAAAATTTTGCAAACCTAGCTTAAATATTTACGAAGATATATGCATATTTTACAAAAAAACTAACTCTTAATAACAAAATTATTATTTCTAAATTTGAAAAAAATTCATTAAGAATTTTGCAAAAAGTTAGCCTTTAAATTAGTTTTTTCATAGTGCGCATACATGGAAAAATTAAAAAAATAAGATTATAATTTTGTAGTGAATCATATTTGGTAGCCAATAAAATAAAAAATAGAAAATCCAATTTGAATATCGTGAAAATTTAAGAATTTTCCAGCAATTTTCTAACTAGATATTGTAAATTTTAAATGAAAGCTCTGAATGATGAGGGTTTTTCCACAAATTCCATTTTGTATTGTAAGACGAAATTAAATAACAAATAATACCTTACATTAAACGCCTGTGTACACAAATGTGATAGTAGTACAGGAAAAGATAACATGTGAAAGAAAATATACTTTAGCGGGAGATGATCCCTCACAATGCCGGTGACATTTTTAATAAATCTTGTTTAATAGTATAAAATAAAATTTGTGAAAAAACCCTTATCATTCAGAGCTTTCTTTACAAAAGTACAAAAAACAACTTTTATTATTAGTTACTAAATACAAAATCGCTTCAAAATTACGAAGAAAAAAAATTTTCAATTTTTTCCGCTCATGCATAGTATAAGAAAACTACTTTAAATGCTCCTCATATCTTCCGCAATTTTAAACGATACTTCTTTAAATTTTAAAATAATAATAATTTAATTATTAATTTAATACTGCTTCCAAAATTTTTGTTGAATATTTNAAAAAAAAAAAAAAAAAAAAAAAAAAAAAAAAAAAAAAAAAAAAAAAAAAAAAAAATGGTAAGACTAATAAACTAGATTTTTAAAGAAATGTCTTAAGAAAAATGTCTTAAGCTACTTTAAAGATATGCTACAAAGTTAGTGCAAATGACAACCAACGTAATCAATTCAAGTTACAAGCTTATTGTTACATTTTCTGGCATAGGACGTTCAAAAATACTTGTTTTCGTTCATAATTTGTTGCCGGTCAATCAAACTTTTGAAAGCTTTAAAATCTATTGATAAGTATGAGATATGTTCTAAATATCTCTAAAGTTGGTACTATGTATAAGGATAACATGATATAAAAAATGACTACCCCGCTATTAAGTTAAGTACTAAAACAATGCACAGCAACTGATCAACCTTAAACAGGTTACAATTCTATTATGATTCAATGTTAAACTAATTTTTCTAAGAGTACAGCGCGCAAGCAATGTAGCGTTGTTAATCCATAAACAGAAATAGGAAGTGTAAGTTTGCGTTATTTGTTTTGTGTCAATTGATTCGAAATCAAATTAAGAGTCGATCTTTATGCTGCTCAGCATTGGGTCGTTCATCAGAAATTGTTACAGCGTAAAATCTGTAACGTTTTAAAAATCCTGAGCAAATAACGAATAAAGGAAGACATAAAATTTTGGCGAATCAGCTGTCAATTACTTAAAAACAAATCGAATCATTTAGAACTTGCGTTCTTTATGAACAAAATGCCACTTTATACTTAAACCATCTAGATAGAAAAAAAGTTAGGACGTTCTTATCTGAATTAATTATGTGGAAATTTTTGGTGTTATCTTTAATAGCATCTAGTGGTCTAATGGCCTATGAGGATGCTTATTTATCGTCAGAAGATTCATATGTTCTAAAGGAACGGATGCTTGTGTATGTGCAAATAGTAAGACTATTTTTTATATTTATTCCAAATCAAAACAACATTCTACCTTTATTGAGTAATCCAAATATATTGATAGTAATCGAAATTAGGATATCTTTCATTATGTAATCCAAATATGTTCATAACAATCTAAATCTTTCATTACTTTTTATTTTGTAATTAAAATATATTGATTGCAATCATAATTAGGATATTTTTCATTATATAATCCAAATATATTGTTAGCAATCGATATTAAGATATCTTTCATTATATTTCATCATGGAATCCAAATATATTACTTGCAATCAAAATTAGGATATCTTTTTTTATCTTTCATTATGGAATCCAAATATATTGATAATAATGAAAGCTAAGATAGTATATATTTTTGGGTATATTGAGGCAAAATGATGATATCTTTCATTATATATTATATAATCAAAACTTTTTGATAACAATAAAAATTAAAATATCTTCCGTTTCCTGAGAAATATATATTAAAAGATTGTTTTCAACGTTTGCGCTATTGGCGGAAGATTACTTTTTATTATATGATTATAAATTTTACATATTTAGTAAAATTCATACTTTTTTCCTAAACGTCAATATTTTCCATGAAAACACAAATAATTTTGTTTTCAAAATATATAAGTTCTGTAGCTTTAATATACACATATATATATTTTTTAAAAACTCGAGTTAAGCTCTTAAACAAACTGGTTAAACTAATAATTCTCAATCTAACTATGGAACATTAACTTTCGTATTCCATCGTACTTTACATTTTATTTACAATCCATCGTAATTATAAGTTTTTAAGTCTTTTAATTACTGAACGACCAAAGCAACGGTCCTTAATATTTTTTTAATATAAAGAGGAATAGTGAATANTATATATATATATATAGGAACAAATCAACAAATAAATAAGCTAGAGAATAAGTAAAAAGTGAAATTAGTAATATTAAATGTATGATCAAAGAGTATCATAATTAAGTTTTTGTTTTGTTTGCTTAGTGACCCTATTAAGATTAATTTCTAATTTTACATAAAGTTTTTTTATTTCTTGGCAGCCATTGTTTTTATTTGTTTTTGTTTTTTTTTTACTCTTAATAATATTACAAATAAGTTTTTTTTTATATCTGGACTCACTTCTTGCAGCTGAAACCCTAGAGATGGATGTTCCATTAGTTTTTTTGAGTGGCTAATGACCGAATAAAACGGGACATATGTATCCCAAGTTCGAAAAAGAAGTTTGTTTTGATTGTTTTCATACAATAAATTTTCAAAATCTTACAAATTATGATTCAAATAAACATAAAATGATATAAATAACCCTTATATTATGACACGCACTTTTGCTTAGTTCTTGTTCAGTGTTTTTCCTCTCGAAATTATCCTTAAATTTTCACAAGCATGTCATTTATTCAGAACTATGCCGCCATGACAGTTTTTCAAATGCTGTGCCAAATATCTTCTTAAATGGAAGTCTAACTAGACATTAATGTGCAAATCTAGTGTTAAAATCTAGTGTTAATCTAGTGGAAATCTAGTGTTAAAATAAATCCTATTTTTGCCCAACAGGTCAATCTGCGACATATATGTCCCATAAGGCTCGAAAGGGATAAAAAAGACACTAAAAAAACATAGCATAAAACTTAAGTTTTGGGGGGTACATAGAGTATTGTAGTTCACAGTTTTCCTAATAGTTCATAACTTTATAACTTATAAATAAACTATAATGTTAAAAATCGACTTCTTTTTAATTACTGAAATAATTTGGGCCTATATTTTATAACTCTCAAAATTTTTTCAACGCTATTGAAGCTATAATTAATTCTCATTTATGGAAAAGAGAGTGTACGGCGGCAATTATATTAAACCACTTAATTCACACTAATAGGAGTGTACACATTTATCCATTGTAGTTAGACAACATTCTACTACGGCTTTAGAAGTCCGTGATTGGATCCTTGCCGGTGGTCAAGGAACAGTCCTTAAATGTATTGCGCATGTGTGAAAAGCGCAACTTTGTGATAAAAAGAAATTTAAAAGTTAACACAAATATTTTAAATTTTGTTTAATAATAACGAAAAATAGGTTAAAGTATTTGGTTTGATTTATGATGTTCGATTTTTGATGTACAATGTTTTTTGTTGAATCTCGAGAAAACGTTTCACCGTGTGCAGATATATAATTCTTCGCCAATATAATTTTAATTCCGGGGTAGAATCAACGAAACTATTCATCTATTTTAATTTGTATATTCATTATTGCTATCGCTATCAATACTGGAGTCATTAGCTTTTTCGAAGCAAAATAAATAATTTAATTACATTTATTTTCTCATGGGGACCGAGCATGGGGATTTCTACATTTAATATTCATAGTCAATCTAGTGGGAGCACTTTGTGTGAAGCGTGTAAAAAAGATGGCTTTAAAACATCAATATGAAATATTCTACAAAATATTAAATAGTATTTTTAGGAGGCCTCATACCTACCGACTGAATAGAATCGTGAAAAGAATGATGAGAGAGGGAGACAACTTAGTCACTATCTCTTTATGCGATTTTATTGCATGCGAACGAGAACCTGATTGGTGGAAAATATTTACCTGCAAAAAACTCGCCAATCAGATTCTCGTTCATATGCAACTTTTTTGGATCACAAAAAATTCACATTCAGTGAAAATGCCCCTTAAATTTGCTCATATCACCCAATCAAAATTTGATGACTTTAGATAGATTTGATGACTTAGCTTTAGATACTATGCTACTTTTACTATCAAAATTGCAGTAATGAAATTTTTTTTATCAGCATTTTTAGAAATATAGTTTAGTGCAGTACATTTATTTGCTTTTAGTTCATTGTGAATATTACTAATTAGTGTTAGATTAATTATTGTAATCATGTTAAAATAATTATTCAGCATCATCAAGTTCGGTTTTCAGTAATTCATACAATAATTGAGAGCTATTTATCAGGTTTTTGACAGGTTTATTGATGTCATATAATACTCAATCACCAAAAGTTTTGCTAATGATCAAATACGCGTTTGAATTTCTCAATGTCCAAAATATGTACTGAAACATAACAGATATGTTATTTATTTTATTGCTTAAATGTTTTTTTAATTTAAAGATGATATTATTATTTAAATATCTTGTCATATAAATAAAAAGTTTAGAATTTATAAAATTTATTACTGAACAAAATATTTTTTTAATGATTTTTCAAATTAAAAATAAAATAAGCTTTAAAGCATGCCCTTTTTTTCCCATTATATTTCAGTTAACAACCAATGGAATTTATACACCTTTAGAAACTTACCCAAACAGTCAAAATTCAGCCAATACCTGGAAAGATGGATTTGGAACATTAACAAGAGTAAGTTTTTTGAACAATTAATAATTAAAACTTCTATGCAGAATGTCTCGTAATCACCGCTCTTTATATATAATTTCCAATAGCCCATTGTGCAGCTCTAGTGTGACGTAAATGAACAACAACTACTACTACTACTTATATATAATTTTGGAGATGGTTCAAATGGAAATCGGAGATGGTTTTTAACAATCGATTTTAACCCCTACAGAACCAATCATTAAAATTTATTATGTGCTAGTATCTTGTATTGATCATGTTTTAAAAATTTTACTTTTCTGGTTGTTTTAATGATTGGTTCAGTAGGGGTTAAAATCGACATATATATAATA